TCAATCATCTTGCATCTCTAGGAAAAGTGTTTCCTAATGAAGATCTTATTAACAAAGTTTTGAGATGTTTGAGTAGGGAATGGCAACCGAAAGTGACTGCAATTGCTGAATCAAAAGATCTAACAACCATGTCTCTTGCCTCACTATTTGGAAAACTTCAAGAACATGAAATGGAACTAATTAGACTAAATCAATATGAGGAAAGTGATAAAAGAAAGAAAGGGATAACACTCAAAACATCATCATTTATTCAAGAAAAAGATGAGAAATAAGACAATATTGAGGAAGATGATTTAGAGGATGATGAGGATTTCAGTCTCTTTATAAAGAGATTCAACGAATTCCTCAGAAACAAAGGAAACTGGAAAAGATCCAATTTCAACAATAAGAGAAAAGGAGAAGACTCTTCTTCAACCCCAAAATGCTATGAGTGTAATCAACCAGGACATTTGAGATTAGAATGTCCAATATATAAAAGAAAGATGGAAAAATCTAACAAGAAAAGTTTCAAAGAAAAGAAAGGGAAGAAAACCTATATCACTTGAGAAGAAAATGACATGGATTCTACAAGTGACTCTGAAAATGAAGTTGTAAATTTGGGACTTATGGCCAAAGACTACGAAAGCGAAGAAGAGGTAACATCTTCTAACAATGATATCTCAATCTCATTTGATGAACTTCAAGATGCATTCAATGATTTACATAAAGAATCATTTAAACTTGCAAAATTAGTATCATCATATAAGAAACTCGGCCTCAAGATAGGCCGAACACCTCTTCGGCCTTATGCTTAGCCGAAGACCCAGAGTTCATGATAAACACGTGGCAAATCAGATACTTATTATGCACTGATTACTGTGCCAGATTAAGAAAGGATTAAGGTTAACTCAAGTATTACCCATCTCCCAAGAATGAAGGCCCACCAGGCCCACACATGTCACTATAAATACACAGATGATGTGACATAAATGGGGTACGTTACTACTAACTATCAAGCCTTTATTGCTTTCAACCGAACACTGACTTGATCGTCGGAGTGCCTTTGCAGGTACCCTCCCCCACCCTTCGGAGTTAGCATTCGGTCGGCACCAAAGACTTAAAAGGTTTCGAAGACTGCAAGGAAGGAGCGACAACACTACAAAAAAAACATTATTTAGTGGGGGTTATTTTACGGAGGTTTTGAAAACCCCCTCAAATTAACATGAGCTGCGGCGTTTTGGGAGAACGCTCAAAATTGTAAAGATAATGGCGGTTTTTATCAATTTTTGAGGAGGTTTATGCCCTCCCAAATTCAGAGGCAATTTTTCGTGAAAATTTTTCACCATTTTCCCTCGCAATTTATTTTCACCCAATCCCTCTAACCCCCCTTTCACAAAACGCTCGTTTATCTCTGCTCTGCTCTTTACTCCAAAGTATGAAGTATCGCTCTCTTCCTTCTCCCATCATCGTACCAATTTTCCGCACCTTCACCGCAACATGATCTAGCAGTTCCACCATTAACTCTGCTAACGCGTCTCGCTCACAAAATTTGGTGCAATAGTGCTTATTCCGCTCTTTATTTTTCGCCCTTCGTTTTCAATTTTGCTTTTGTTTTCGTGGAATCTAGGGTTTTCTCAATCTAGGGGATCCGTGCTAGGTTTTCGCAATATTCCTTATCCACGTGCTTAAGTTTGTTTTCCTTTTATTAATTTCAGCCCCTGCGTTGTATTTTAGGAACGGATCGTGAAACACCGAAACCTTAAGCCGAAGTTTACCGCATAGAAATGGAAGGTGCCTTTGACGATGAAGCTGAACCGGCCGTTACTATCGGCGAGTACCTTGATGAAGTCGAGGAACGGGAACTGGTAAGTCATTTTCTACATTTCTGCTGTACTTTCATATCTATATGAAACGATCGAGGTTTTATGTGTATACGAGTTGGTTATTTGTTGTTGTTACTTTGCGTCTCATTTGGTTGATAAAGCTATTGTTTATCCTTGCTTATTGATTGTAATTTATTCTGTTAGGGGAATGTAAAGTGAATATTGAGTAAGCATTAAAGATGATTCATAAGTGTATTTGAAATGAGATGAAATTATTTTGTGATTATCCATTATTCTATTATGTTCTACTAATGGGGCACATGTATGGTTTTTGATAGCATTATTGTATAATTATGGCTGGCTTTCCTACATCTTTTGGATTGCTAGAAATGTAGCCCTTTAAATTACATGAAATCTAATGTGTGGTTCACTCCTTCACTGTTGCTGGGATAGTCTTCAATAATTATGATAGTTTATTCTTTATCTTTCATTATTTGTTTCTAGCTTAGTTCCATTTTCTCAAGCATGCTTTTTGAGAATTAGAAAGGTAACTTGTGTATGTGAATGAAATACACTATAATTGTGGCATATGATTTGCATCTGAATTCTGAAGTGAGATTGTTTTTTTTCTTGTGCACTTTTCTGTATTGGGAAGAGGCTGCTGATTGAGATTCAAGCTTTATAAGCAATTGTGGTTGGGCAGAGCTATTCCTCTTAATGCTGACTTATTGTTGTTATGATTGATTTTGTTTTACTCAGAAGTCAGAATGTGGCATGATTCAAATGTTTGACACTTTAATCATTGGCTTTTTCATTTTTGTAGGAAGCTGATTTAGTTTTGGGGGGTGATGATGGCAAGGAATGTACCTACAACAAAGGTTATATGAAAAGGCAAGCAATTTTCTCTTGCCTCACCTGTTTTACACATATAATCAATCATCTTGCATCTCTAGGAAAAGTGTTTCCTAATGAAGATCTTATTAACAAAGTTTTGAGATGTTTGAGTAGGGAATGGCAACCGAAAGTGACTGCAATTGCTGAATCAAAAGATCTAACAACCATGTCTCTTGCCTCACTATTTGGAAAACTTCAAGAACATGAAATGGAACTAATTAGACTAAATCAATATGAGGAAAGTGATAAAAGAAAGAAAGGGATAACACTCAAAACATCATCATTTATTCAAGAAAAAGATGAGAAATAAGACAATATTGAGGAAGATGATTTAGAGGATGATGAGGATTTCAGTCTCTTTATAAAGAGATTCAACGAATTCCTCAGAAACAAAGGAAACTGGAAAAGATCCAATTTCAACAATAAGAGAAAAGGAGAAGACTCTTCTTCAACCCCAAAATGCTATGAGTGTAATCAACCAGGACATTTGAGATTAGAATGTCCAATATATAAAAGAACATCAGACGTGGGCCAGAATGGCCCGTTCCGAATCCGAACGTTATGTAGCATTTTCGTACCCTAGAACGGCCCGTTCCAGGGAACCAAAACGGCCCGTTTTGAAGTGGGAACGACCCGTTCTGAGGTACAAAATTTAGCCCCTTCGATTGGTTTGGAACGGCCCGTTCTGGTCTAGAACGGCCCGTTCCAACCTACATTTTTTAGGTCTTTTAGAAGCCTCGGAACGACCCGTTCTGATTTGAGAACGGCCCGTTTCGGACTTGGGAATGGCCTGTTCCGATTTTGGAACGGCCCGTTCCAGACCACTAAAAAAGTTAATTTAGGCTTTTGGGCCCTCTAATGTCATATCTTGTTATTTGTTTGCCCCCGGACGAAATTGGGTGTCTACAACTGCCCCTCTTTACTTGTCCTTTATAATAGCTATGTTGTTTTTCCAAATGCAAGTAAAGACATAGACATTTCGTCTGGGTCTTCTTCTTGTCTCTGTGTTGATGCTTCTACGTTGCTTCCCTTGGACAAGTGTGTTTGCTTGTATCCTCACCTTTTATAGCAGTTGAGCATTGATTGCGTACTCTATTGCGTAACAAGGTTGACAAACTGTACAAAGAAATCAATTTCAAATTTAGAAAACAAGATTTCAAAATTAAATAATAATTAGACAATCTCAAAACTAAAATTAAGATAATTAATTCTAAAAATGAAAAACAAGAGATTAAAACTAAGTTAGATACTAATAAAACAAATCATCCATGTTCAACTTGCAATAAATTTAAAGAAGAAATTAGTAATGTAAGAAACACTCTTGCACAATTTACAGCTAGAAGAAATAACTTAGACATAATATTAGGAACACAAAGATGTGTATTCGAGAAGGTAGGATTAGGATATAATCCTCAAAAATTACAAAAGAAATACAAAAATTTCTTCATACCCTCACAAATTACTAGTTTTCCATTCACAACTTTTTTTTACTGTGGTAAGAAAGGTCATAATTCATCAATATGCTATATTAGAAAGAATTTTAACAATCTCAAGAATTTAGTTTGGATTCCAAAAGGTTCTTCTATTAATACTAACAATAAGGATCCAAAGAAAACTTGGGTTCCTAAATCAATCCTTTCTTTTTCTTGAAGGATTTCACAAATCAAACTTGGTACATTGATAGTGGATGTTCCAAGCACATGACAGGAGATGCTTCGAAATTCATTGACCTTACTCCTAAGAGAAGTGGACATGTAACCTATGGAGACAACAACAGAGGAAAAATACTTGGCATTGGAAAAATTGGTACAAATTTCTCAATCTCCATAGAAAATGTCTTACTTGTGGATGGTCTTAAACATAGTTTATTAAGTGTTAGCCAACTTTGTGATAAAGGTTTTTCAGAGTCCTTTGACTCACAAAAATGTCTAATTAAACACAAGAATGATAAAAATGTTAAGATAATAGGATTTAGAGTTAACAATGTATATAAAATAAAATTAGAAAATAATTCTAATAATTCTCAATGCCTCATGAGTAAAGAAGATGAATCATGGCTATGGCATAAAAGAATGGCTCACATAAACATAGAACACTTAAATAAATTAATCTCAAAAGACTTAGTAATAGGATTACCAAAGATTAAATTTGAGAAAAATAAACTATGTGATGCATGCCAAAAGGGAAAACAAGTTAAAGTATCTTTTAAACCAAAGAATATAGTCACAACCTCTAGACCCTTAGAACTTTTACATATGACTTGTTTGGACCATCTAGAACTATGAGCTTTGGTGGAAGTTACTATGGTATTGTCTTAGTGGATGATTTCTCTAAATATACTTGGACCTTATTTCTTGCTCATAAAAGATATACCTTTGGTGTGTTTATAAAATTTTCTAAACTAATTCAATACAAGAAAAACCTTAAAATTTTCTCCATAAGAAGTGACCATGGAAAAGAGTTTGAAAATAAAGATTTTGATTTATTTTGTGAAGAAAATGGAATTGAACATAACTTTTCTGCTCCTAGAACTCCTCAACAAAACAGAGTAGTAGAAAGGAAGAATAGATCTTTAGAAGAATTAACAAGAACAATGCTAAATGATTCAAAACTTCCTAAATATTTTTGGGCATAAGTTGTTAACATTGCATGCTATACTATGAATAGAGCCTTAATTAGACCTATTCTTAAGAAAACTCCTTATGAGTTATTCAATGAAAGAAAACCTAATATATCACATCTTCATATTTTTGGATGCAAATGTTTTTTACTTAATAATGGAAAAGATAACTTAGGAAAATTTGATGCTAAATCTGATGAGGGGATATTTCTTGGATACTCTCTAAATAGCAAATCATATAGAATATACAACAAAAGAACTATGACTATTGAGGAATCAATACATGTTGTATTTGATGAAACTAACCTTATTTGTCCAAGAAAATATATTATTGATGGAATTGTAGAGAAGTTTGAAGATACTCATATTAATGAGAAAATTCAAAAGGATAAGAAAGATGAAGAAACTGAGGATTCGATAATACGAAAAGATCAACCAAACATGAATCCTCAAAGAGAGTGGAGAATATCAAGAAATCATCCTTTTGAAAATATTATTGGAGATATAACAAAATGGGTAACTACTAGAAACTCTCTAAAAGAAGCATGCAATAATATGTCTTTTTTTTCTAAGATAGAAGTTAAAAATATTGATGAAGCTTTAAATGATGAACATTGGATTAGTGCTATGCAAGAATAATTAAATCAATTTGAGAGAAATCAAGTATGGGAATTAGTTAATAGACCTATTAATCATCAAATTATAGGAACAAAATGGATTTTTAGAAACAAACTTGATGAACATGGTATATTCATAAGAAACAAAGTTAGATTAGTTACTAAAGGATATAATCAAGAAGAAGGTATAGATTATGAAGAAACATATGCACCTGTAGCAAGATTAGAAGCCATTAGAATGTTACTTGCCTATGCATCATTAATGGACTTCAAACTATACAAATGGATGTTAAAAGTGCTTTTTTAAATGGTTTTATTCAAGAAGAAGTTTATGTAGAACAACCCCCCAGTTTTGAAAACTCAGAATTTACAAACCATGTCTTTAAGTTAAAAAAAGGCTTTATATGGATTAAAACAAGCTCCTAGGGCATGGTATGAAAGACTAAGTAAATTTCTTCTGGAAAAAGAATTTACAAGGGGAAAAGTTGATACTACACTTTTTATCAAAATAAAAATGAATGACATCTTTTTAGTACAAATCTATGTTGATGATATTATTTTTGGAGCTACTAATGACTACTTGTGCAAGGAATTTTCAAATGATATGCAAAGTGAATTTGAAATGTTCATGATGGAAGAATTAAATTTTTTCCTTGGACTTCAAATAAAGCAAACCAAAAATGGAATTTTTATAAATCAAAGCAAATATTGTAAGGATTTGCTCAAAAGATTTGGAATAGAGAATACCAAAACAATGGCAACACCAATGAGCACTACTTGCTAGCTAGACAAAGATGAAGATAGAAAATCCATAGACATAATGAAATATAGAGGTATGATTGGATCTCTTCTTTATTTATCTGTAAGTAGACCTGATATTATGTTTAGTGTATGTTTATGTCCAAGATATCAATCTAACCCTAAAGAATCTCATTTGAGTGCTGTGAAAAGAATAATGAGATATCTGTTAGGAACTATCAATCTAGGTTTATGGTATCCTAAAAACATGTCTTTCAATCTAGTAGGCTACTCTGATTCTGAGTTTGCCAGATGCAAAATTGACAGAAAGAGCACTAGTGGAACATGCCACTTTATTGGATCTGCTTTAGTATCATAGCATAGTAAAAAGCAAAATAGTGTTTCTTTATCCACTGTTGAAGTAGAATATATTGCTACTGGAAGTTATTGTGCACAAATTCTATGGATGAAACAACAACTATCTGATTTTGGTTTATCTTTGGTTCATATTCCAATTAAGTGTGATAATACTAGTGCTATCAATCTCTCTAAGAATCCAGTTCTTCATTCTAGAACCAAACACATTGAGATAAGACACCATTTTCTTAGGGATCATGTTCAAAAAGGAGATTGTGTTCTACAATTTGTTGAAACAAATAATCAATTAGCCAACATGTTCACAAAGCCCTTACCAAAAGAAAACTTCTTTTCAATTAGACAAAAATTGGGAATTCTAGACTCTTCTCACATTAACTCTTGACTCTATATTAAAAATACGCAATTTTAAGTTTAGTAATCGATTACCAGAGATAGTAATCGATTACCAGGGGAATGAATTTAATTTATTTTTGAAATTTTGAAATCTCGTAATCGATTACAGGATTATATAATCGATGAACAGAGGCTATTTGCTCATTCTGTAAAACTTGTAATCGATTACAATACAATGTAATAGATTACCAGAATGTGTTTGCACTTATCTGGGAAAAGGGTAATCAATTACCATGTAATGTAATTGATTACCAGAAACAAAATGCATGAATCTGGAAA